AGACGGCTGTCCGTTGACAACTCGACCCCAATCATCAGTTGAATTGGCGACACTCTTGTCCCCATCAGCAGCCTCACATCTCGCTCTCGGAGTCGGTAACTTACGTGCAGATGGTCCAGACGGCCGTCTGCAAATGCTCTCATCTCGCCCCTCGGGGCAGTCTTCAATGCCGTCGCAGACCCAGGACTTGGGAATACAGACCTTCTCACTATTCTTCGTGCCGGGGCATGTCCATTCCAGCCCCTCAGCACAATCTCCAGCCGCTTTTTCGATGCTCTCAATCTGCTCGTTAGGGAGGATATTAAAATGCAGTCGAACGCCACGCCTATTTGATTTGGGTTTGACGCTCCTGAGCACAACAAGTACGGTGCTACTGTTCGTTAGGAAGCGTAGGCCACCCGTCGTGTGTTTTCCGCACTTGCGTCCACCGTCAATCGCCGTCGTGAACCTCGAGAGGCCAACTCGGCCAGTGCTATTCTGAGGGCCTTCACCTGGCACAAAGACTCCCAGGAAGTCCTCCTCACAGGATCCATCCACGCCCTCCTCGAGGTCGAAAAGACTGGCCTGTAGCAGGACACCATTATGCTGGCTCGGGACCTGGATGAGCCAGAAACAGGACAGATTCTGTGGCAGAGGCTGGTCATCGAGGAGACCAACGTGAGATATTATTTCTCCCGAGGATTGCGTGTAGAGTGGACTGCCACCACATTGAGGATTGCGATCGTCGAAACCGGTGGGTGCTGCGTACGTGCCGGGAGAGCCGACTACGGAGAAGAGGAAAAGGAGCACCGTGATCCAGTCAGATGCCATGCTTGTTAGTAGTTCGCCGGCGAACGCGGCGACTTTTAAATAGTCGAGCACAGGATTCATATGTGCACCATATTATTTTAAAAAGTGCTGCGGCAAAAGTTCACCCTATCCCGATCCTGTAATCTACCCGATGGTCATGTGTATGGACGCATACGGAAAGTCTAAAAATGCGTCCATCTGACATTGAACTGATCAAAAACGTGGACCAATGTACTTCTGGTGAAGAGGATTTGTGTTCGCGGTATCTCTGGCATTTCCATTGAGCGATAGTTGAAAATTAGTTTGTACTTTTTGAAAACTGTCAAAAGTACTTACAAAATACCATTAGGGTCTGCTCAGAGCACTACAATTATCCCGCACTTTTTCGTACAGGAAGAAGAGGGGTAAAACCAGTGAGAGTT